CAAGGTTTTATCTATCAAATGATGTATTATATTATGCTGTGTTCTGAACCAAAAATTGGTAATTTCTCTTTTAGTACAAGCTTCGTTCCCACAGGAAAGACAACAATTAGCATGGATGAATTTTTAATGGCTCTTGTCGCATAGATAGAAAGCCAGAAAAATTGCAATAGTTAGAGGAAATTGTCTGCTTTTTTGCATGTTATTATTCTATTTATTTGGTACATTATATAATTAAATAAAAATTATTTTGTGCATTACTACCATTAGTCTAAAAAAAAGTAGGGTTAAGTGTCATTAATAGCAAAAAATAAATGTATTTAAGAGGTTTAATAGATTACACAAATGAAATATGAGATTTTTGAGTTGAAGTATTTTTAATCTTAACATGAAAATCACTTTGCACATAGACTATTCAAAACAAATACTCAAGACATTAATCTTTTTTTAGTTTACTAAAAATACTTCAATAAAAAAATATATTTTTTGTATGTGAAAGACAGAAAAGTTTATGAAGATATACACACTATATTAAAAGTCAGTAGTACCAAATCTATAAATACTTTGAATGAGTACAAAGAGGTCACATGGTCGATGAAACTGACCAAGTCTGTTGTGAGAGAGTTAATAACAAAGTAATCAGCTTAAATTAATTTGATTATATTCTTATATTTACAGTGTTCAGATTATTGTAAGTTATAAAACAGCGACACAAACTTACATAGGTTGTAATATCACACCTTTAAGCTAGTGACTCTTTAGTAGAAGTAAATTAAACCAATAATTATGTCACTTGCACATTGTTGTTTTTATGTTAAAACATAGGTTGTAATATCACACCTTTAAGCTAGTGACTCTTTAGTAGAAGTAAATTAAACCAATAATTATGTCACTTGCACATTGTTGTTTTTATGTTAAAAGCCAAATTATTTAGTCTTTTGATGTTGGTTACATGTCCCTGCATGTATTGTTTATTATATTGTGTTACAAAACACTAGCTTTTCAGAAACTAGTGAGAGAGGACTTACTGACACATTGCAAAAATAAGATTAGTCAACTCTTTCCATGCAGTGCTCAGTTGAATCGACCGAGTTCATAACCATTTTGTACTTGTTACAGTGTCCATATTATAACTTTTGATGCAGTATGTGTATCTTCACAAAATCTGGCAGACATCCATTAAACATTTCAATATTTTTGTATATAAAAAATCAGATTTTTAAATCAAGTATTTTTAATAAAGATTTGTCTTGGAATATATCAAGCAGTTTTATTAACCAGTCTGAGTGCAAAGTGATTTTCATGTTAAGATTAAAAATATTTTTATTCACCTGAAAAAATTTCAACTTTCATTTGTGTAATCTCTAAAACTTTCTAAATAGTTATAAAACATTATATTTTATCTGTTATTTTCTCTAGCCTAACATCTAAAAAACATTAAAAACAGGTAATTGCAAATCAATTTTCCTTAATTATTTCATTGTACTTTTTTCACAATTCCAAAGAAAGTATTTTTATGAAAATTAAAGTTGTTAATCAGTAATAAACATAACACATAAGTATTCAATTAGTCTAAACAATTTCAAATGACACTAAGATCATGATTTCCATGACATTTTTTTTCCACATTAGCTTTTAATAACAGGTAAAACATGTTGCATATATGTTCTATGTGTCAAAAAAATAAATAGTGTGGAAATACAAGCTGAGTGAAATAAATAAATTCAAAAGTATCTGCACAGTTAGAGCGGGGTAGGGTGAGTCCTAACAATTAACTCTTAACATGGTGCAGCACCACCTATGACCTGAATTACTGCTACTATTCTTTGGTGCATGCTGCAAAAAGGATTCCATCACATGTTTTGTGCAATTTGTCTCCACTGCTGTTTCATGAGCTTGGCCAGTTCATAATAACTGTTAGGCTAGTATCAAACATTTCAATATAATCTCTATGTGGACCCAATGGCGTTCTACAGGATTAAGACCTAGGCATGCCATTTATTGAAACTGATAGTTATTTTAATCAGTCATGGAATTGTCTGTGATTTGTGGCTGAGAGCATTACGCCACTGGAGAAACAGGAAGGTCTGCTAACCAAAATGTCCAACACTGCTACTGAAACATGTTCATTTACAATATTTTGATATCTAGGGTCATTTAAACATACAGATGCTTCGAATATGGTTCTATGCCCATACACTTGAAATTAAAATACTCCTAACACGATCTTTCAAGAGCTGATACAACACGTTCACAATCGAGTTACTCACCTGCTTGCCTTTGTACCCATACACTGTCATTATTTTCAAATTCTGTGAAATGGCTCTCAACAGTCCACAAAATCTGCAACCACTTGTTAAATTCTAGTGCTCACATGAACATTTGCAAGGGTGAAGTAAGGTTTGCATCCTTAAATGTTTTATCATATTCCAACAACCTTTTGTATAACTGGTTAGAAAATCATCATATTTCATAAGTTTTTCAAACTAAACATTTAACTGACCCACATTTTTCTTGAAGGAAAGAAACAGTAGTCTTATTTTAATCAAATGTTGGATGAACCTTGCTAATGCTTGAAACATGTCCATACCTAGAATTTAATGAATGCTTATACCTACACATCTCAAAAGAGATTATCTGCATATTTAATTGTTCTTGGTCAGGTTCTAATAATGAATCCTGTTTGCATATCACTAGTTTAGAGCTTAAGGCAACAAATTCTGATTTCAGGAAATTAGAAATTTAATTATTCATTATACCATAAAATAACAACTTCCTTTGAAACTGAAGTGATGCCAATATAGTCAGATAACTCAAATGTAGTTTTATAGTTTTTCCTCTTGACCAAATAATTTGAATATCTTATTGAAAAGTTCATAAAAGTATTGTGAACATGTTACCTTTTTTGGAATAGAAAATATAACTTTGTTGTAATTTCCAAGACTATTTACATACAATTTGATGAACAACAAAAAACTGACTGTAAAAAAGTTATTTGTGAGGCTATTACAGTCATGTTTTTTAACATACAAAATATTACATTTTCTTTTAAGATTGTTTTAAAATAGAATGGATGTTTAAAATTAAGGTTAACTTCATTAGTTTCACTTCAAATTATTTCTAGGACTAAAAGCTACAATATGAAGTGTCAATCAACTGAAATTCACAAGCTATCTCAAGAAATCTTTGGAAAATTGAATTTTTTCATAAGTACTGACAATACATCCAGCACATAAATGTTACTGTTATGATATTGTTATACTCTTTTATGTTCATCAAACTACAAGTTAATTGTATAACTTCTTATAAGACAGTTTATAACATTTTTAGCATTGTAGTTTTATATAGTATATAATCTTATTGTTAATCAAATTCTTGTGTACTTAAGAATAAATAACTAATTAAAATTTCAAATACCTGTTCATCATCCTGAGTTGGACAGCTAACAAGTGGTGTCCATCGCAAACATTCAGAGTCTAGTGCAATCCGCTTATCTTGGTTTTTTTGGACTTTGGCCATGTGCTGGTCAAGCATACTTTTGTTGACATTGAGGATTGGCCTGTCAACAAATAATCTGTGTTCGTAGTGAGAAATAAACATTAAATATTTCGTCAGTAGCAATTACAGCTGTTTGCCATATCTTATAAGCTTTAAGGTTTGACAGATAATTAGTTCTTTTTAAATATTTTTTCTTTATACATTCTTTAAAAAAGTCAGAGGTTGAATGAAATTCTTTGAACAAGAAATGCATTCAAAAACAGCCACAGCAGTTTTATCTTACATACAACTCTTACCTTGACTTCTACAATATATCTAATATGAATTTTTCAACACACACACCTTTTGTAATTAATTAAAGTATTTTAAACATAATATTAACTGAAGACTAAATACTAATAAATCAATTTCATAGTTACTATTCTCACAAAACATGAGTTTATGCTTTGGTGTGTATGCCCCCACATGCAGTTTGTGTCCACTATAATGCTTAAACCAGCAGCTAAAGCTCACATTATTACTGTTTATAAGTTCAACAGCACTTCCATCTGGGAACCTGTATCCAGATTCTTGAGAAGCCACTACTCACCTTATTATATTACACAAGAAAATTAACGATTTTTTCCAGAATTTAAGCTAAGACTTTAATCTCTCTCTCTAATGACAAACATACAAAATGATGAAGTAATTATTTTTCTTACTTTGCAAGCACTTAAAAGTAAATTTATACGTCAAGACTGTTTAACCCTTTCCATATGGGTCGGGGTCAAAGCACGTCATTATGTTTCGTAGACTTGCAATCAAAATTTTATTAAACTACTATTTTATGAATGTATGTCCATAAAATTGGAATCAAATTGTAATTTGCCATTCAAATTTTAGTATTATACATTATTTAATTTCTTAATTCTAAAGTAAATTTTTAAAAAATTGCTAAATATTTATTTTTTATGTCACATGGTACAACATTTTCTGCACTTGCTCATATTGTATTTTGAGCATCATAAAATGTAAAGTCTACAGTTTTTAATGAATTAGAAACTCAAATTGTCTAGCTACTAAATGAAATAAGAACCTCCTACCTTTTCTATTTGCTGAGATATTATTATACCAAACAAACCCACCATATTGGCTCTGCCCAGCTCTTTCTCTTTTGTAAATACTTGTTTAACTACACCTACTTCTTTTAAGTACATGTTTATTACCAATCAAAAGTGCTCATTTTGAACAACATAATTCTGTCAGTCTTCCTAAAGTACTTACACGGGTAAAGCCGTTATTACTATTATAGAGTGATCAATAGTGGTGATCAAGGCAATATGCTGATTGGAAATGAGGTTTTTAGACCCAAATACAGCTCAGGAAGCCAGATAAATTACAGTGGAATTTTGTGGTAACAATACTGTAATTCATAATTTTTTGTTATTTCAAAATGCATATATAAAACCTACAAAATGTACATATATTTTTTTTACATCCTCCACGTGTAAAATTTAATGAGGCTTAGCAAGTATGATGCACAAGTTTTCTATATATTTTATTTACTGTTCTATGTTTTAAAAAAAATAACTGAAATTTAAGAATTTATTTGTAAATAGTAATAATAGATATATATATATTTAATGTTTGATAACCAAAATGTGATTGTATTTTACAAAATACTGGTACACTGGTACTAAGGCAAGAAGAGTAAGACATTTATACTTTGAAAATGTCAGTTTTATGTTATTCAATACAGTAGCAGGAGCTGCATATGCACCACATGATTTACAACTTGTGTGGCAGGATTAGACAGACAGACAGACATTTGTGGTTTCCTGTTACAATTTGCAGTCATTCTAGAATAAAAAAGGGTAACTTAGATTTGCTAATTTTTTATGGTGGTTACAAGATCAATTAGATTGACCAACCCTATGTAGAGTTTAAGGTAGAGAAAATAACAGACAAAATATAAAGGTTTCTAAAAAAAAAATTTAATAGTTATTTTAAGAGGTTACTGAGATTATGCAAATAAAATTTTTCAATTATCAGATGAAGAAAAGTATTTTTAATCTTAAAATAAAAATTACTTTGCATGTTGGATGGTCAACATTTGAAAGAAAAAATTGAAAAACCCAATATTTTGTGTACAAAAGCCTTGTAACAATTAGTGATAATCTGCAACATTTCATAAAGATACACATACATTATCAAAAGTTATAGTATGAATACTTTCATGGTTACATACTTGGTGCAATGCACCCAGCCCTGTAGTCAAACAATTAATGTGAAAGTAATTATATTGCAAGTTTTCTTGTGTAGTAGATTACTGTGTTTTAGATGCACAAACTGATGGGGCAAATACACCTATCAGCAAATGCTTGTAAATAGAACATTACAGTTGCTACTTTATTTTTCATAAATCTTTACTTTTTGTGATGTGCAATTAAAAAAAAATACAGTTTTTTTTTGCATTGTATGTACCATATTGGTGACATTAAAATTTTCGATAGTAGGATCTCATGACTCAAGGATGCAGAGACAAGCTAAAAGCAAATGAGAAGCTGTTTCACACTAAAATCCACACCCTGATATTATTATATAAAAATTATAATAACTCTTATGATATGTTAAATAAACTATTCATGAACTTTTTACCATATTTGTAGTAAAAACTTGCTTTAAAAGATATACTGGTTAAAATGTTTTCTTTTGCATTAGATACCTTTGGTTAAATTTGTAAATATTTATAGCACTCTGAATTAAAGTGTTCATTTGCTGAGTCATCTTAAAACTAGGTTTGATTTTCTCTTGCTACCTTATAAACACATCAAAATATCACCACAATTGCTTTAATATTACTTACTGTTACAGTTACGAAACAACATCCTGAGTAACATTATATTAATCTGTCAGCAGCAAAACAGCATAGTAAAAAAACCTGATACTATACACAATTTCTTGTCGAATAACAGATTTTAATCTGACAAACTAAAATCATGCTGAAATTCATATCTATTATGTTAATTCAGAGAAAATACTCAAAAGCATTTTATAGAAAAATAGTATAATTTACTAGATCTTAAATATGTATTTTTCAACATTCAATTACTCTTCTTTTTTCACATATGAAGAATAACAGAATCACAAACCACAACTTGGTAGGCTTTTTTGTTACCTTTCATTTTCTCCAATCTTGATCATGTCTAGACATTGAAGTGTAGTGGCTATGTCATGCGGGTTTAAGCCAGTAGCTTTGGATATACCTTTTAACAGACAATACCAGTTAGTCTACATATAATCTGGTTTGAAATCAACGTAATGTTTTTCGCCCTCACTTACTTAAAATTAAAAAACTGAAACACTGTTCCCTATATTTTTCAGTAGAATTGGACATAACTTTTAACAGACAATTTATGTTAAGTACATATCATATGACTTGAAATGAGCACAAATTTTTAACATCCTCACTTGTTTAAAATAACAACAAAGTAAATCACTTCTCTCTACGTCTCAGTAGATTTGGAAATGTTTCTGTTGGTGGTGTCTTCTTAATGCAAAGCCATACAATGGGCTATCTGCAATCTATCCACAGTGGGGAAATGAATCCCAATATTAGGTTTGTAAGTATGGAAACTTACTGCTGACCCACCAGGGGACAGCTTGGAAATCACAGACAAATCCTGTGTTCTACCATATGATGACAATGAGTTTAGTGTAGAAGATAAATTAAGACTATCCTTCCATTGATTTAGAATGTTTTTAAAAATAAAATAAATAATTTTATAAAATATTAATTAAAATTAAGTATAAAATTCAGTCAAGGATTTACTGTGGATACAGCAAAAACACGATTATTACAGTGAAGATTGCTCATCTCATTTTAAAAAAGGAAAATTAAAAATATATTACAGATAAATGAGGAAGAGAAGAAACAACAATCAGTATAAACAATTCCCCGTAACATTATTTTGGGAGCCTTATGAGAGACATGTAATAGGTAAAACAGAGGCTTTATATATTTTTGTGTGTTTTGATTAATTTTGTACATCGTTTATTTGGAATTTTATGCAAAGCTACTCAAGGGTCTTCTGGGCTAACCATCCCTAATTTAGCAGTGATAGACTATAGGGAGGGCTGCTAGTCAACACCACCCACTGCCAACTTTTGGTCTATTCTTTTACCAACAAATAGTGGAATTTACCATAATATTATAATGCCGCCAAAGCTGAAAGAGCAAGCATGTTCAGTGACAGGGATTCGAACCCGCAAACCCGCTTATTTTGGATTGAGTACCCTAACCACCAAGCCATATTTTGAATATGAGAACATTTGCTAAGGAAGGGATATTTACTACAGACTTATTGCAGGAGGAAAACAATTTTGATTATGACTTACTGCTAATTGTACTAACATATACATATTATTAATAATAATAAAAAACCTCTTTACGTAACTCTGTGTAAGAAAATTAAATTAAAAAATAACATATGATTATACATTCATACAAATATAAACATAAACTATTTAAAAAGTGCAACTAATAAAAACATATAACACATTAAAATACATAGAAACTAAGTAATGTGAACAATATTAACCATGTACCACAAAAACCAACAGGATCCATGTGAACTGATACTATTAATAATCAACAAACACCATATGTTAGTAAAAACAGTTAAGTTTTATATACCCACTTGTTATAGTGATCTTTTTATCCTGATAGTTATACAAGTACTCGAGAATTACACTTTTCCAATATGATTTGTAACTTATGTATCCAAGATCTGATAAAGGTTTCTCAGGAGTTCCTGCCAAATTTTCTTTTCTTGAAAGAAGGTAACCTGAAACACACAAAATTATGATATACATGTAAAAAAAAAGTATTGAAAACATGATTTAACCTTGAATCGTATCAACACAACCTCCAAAAATCTTTTATGCTTAACGTAAGATTCATTTTGCTTCACACAACTAGCTACAATTACAGGTCATAAGATCAAATTATCTTAAAACTCTTTATTGAACTGATAGATAACTTCTTCCAGAGAAATTTTTAAATATAGAATTGGTTCTGCAGAGTAAGTTGAATATAACTGGATGATACACAAGTTGCACATAAGATTAGAGTATATATTTTAAGTGGTTACCTTTTACATAATGTACATTTTAATCACAAAATACAAGACATTGACACTTCAGCACAAACAACAGATTTTTCATGACAAAATAGTGCCATTTTTAAAGAATATTGTATTGTAATATTTATCAGATCTCTTAATTTTACAAAAATATACTGAAGTTTGTTTTTAAACATGGTGTTCACATTAAAAATGGATGCATTTTAAAAGGTTTCTTAAACTGAGCAAAACTATACAGTAGGCCTACGTAAGAATCAAGAGACACATGAAGAAAACATGAGACAAGTTAATTTCTCCAAATATACCCTAGGGTAGTTTCATTGAAAGTGAAACAACATCCATTTTATTTTTTTGGCCATCACTTGTTGGTGAAAAAAAAAATTGTACAAACACACACACCTTAAACAAATTTTGTACTTGATCAACTGCACTCCAAACTGAGGGGAGGGGGAGCTAAATGACAATATTGTTTTTTACACAAAGGAACATTAAGCCAATTTACATAGTGTATTTTGTGCATACAGATCTATTTACTATATTATTTAAACACTCAGTATTTGGGATCTATGTTATCTAAGTTGGGTAAATAAAACCAAAGTGCTTATGCTAGAAACAGTAATAAGGTAATACTCTACTCTGCTTCTGTTACATTATGAAATCCTTAGCAATGATACTTACTGAAATCAATCAGAAGTCGACCATAGCCCATTCTTTGGTACTGTGGCATGGTCATAATGCAGGATACATTATATCTCTGTTGACAGTGTTTCTCCTGAAATATAAATTATATAGGTTTACAGTGTGCTTTAGTGCTACTTTGCTAATAAAACAACACAACTAGAAATGGCAGATCAAAAATAATCCACCCCAACTTTTTCTTTATTCAGAGTAATCACTTCACGTATTCAATGAATGCATATACTATGGTTTTAACCCTATTGCCCCGGGTATCCTTTAATACGCATTACAGAAGGTTTTAGTGTCTTACAAAAACTACTTTTTGTTTATGTTATACCAATTAATGTGGCATAAACACTTAGCTAATAATCCATATTTTAATTGTAAATACGTTTTAAGTTCTTAATTCTATAAGGAAATACTAAAAATAAAATCTAAACTTCCTCTAGTTTTACACAGTAATACATTTTCTCTAGGCATCTTCTCTTATCTATTTTATCCACCACCCCCTGAAAATGTACAAAATTAGACAAAATGCTCCCTAAAATATTGTTATTGTTCAGACAAACAATTTTTCTATCCTTCAATTTTGTTTGGTTACAGAGCTATAAGTAGAAATTCACACCCCTTCTCTCTTTTAGGCTTTATTAATAGTTCTCTTTTACATTTACAATACATCTGTCAAATGATGTATTGTATAATGTTGTGTTCTGAACAGATAAATGTCAATTTCACTCAAGAGTACAAGCTGCATTCCCATGGGAAAGTTAACGACTTGCTTGGTTAAATTTGTAACAGCTCTTGTCGCATAGTTAGAAAACCAGAAATATTTTAAGAGTTATGGGAAATTGCTTTTTGCATGTTATTAGTCTATGTTCTTCGGTGAATTACTTAATTAAATAAAAATTATTTAATGCACTACTACCATTAGTATAAAATATGTAGGCTTAAATATAATCGACAATTGACAGCAAGAAAAAAGAAAATTGGGTAAGTAATTTATTTCTTGTTTCTCATGTTTATTCTTTATTTATTATTATAAAAGTAACTAAAATGTAAAAATAGGAATCATTTTAGGTTAGTTAAGATTAGATTAGGTAAAATAAATAATAATATAATAAAAATGTTTCATGAGGCACACACGCTGGCTGCACGCAGGTAATGTAATTCAATAGCGTAACGTGCACAAAGTGATTTACAACTTATTATGGCACTGATGGTAGTTAGACACAGTTCAAAGGGCAATAAAACAATAAAATTTAATTATAAATAGATGTATAATGTTATGAAATTAAAGCTACTTATGATAAACGAATATAGTTTCATGTTTACAATTTGAAGTCATTCTAGAAAGAAAAAAATGGTAATTTAGATTTATTTAAATTTATTTTGGTGATTATGAGGTTGGTCAAATTGACCGATCCTGTTTTGAGTTAAGGTAAAGAAAATAACAGATGAAATCTAAGGTTTTACTGGAAAAAACGTTTGAAGTGTAATTGGGGGGTTTTTAGGGATGACACTATGGAAATTTGAGATTTTTGAAATGAGGAAAAATATTTTTAATCTTAACATGAAAATTACTTTGCACATGGACTATTCAAAACAAATACTTAATATATTCATAGAGAAATCTTTATTTTAGTTTATTAAAAATACTTGACTAAAAAATATTTTTTGTATGCGAAAGACATGATGTTAACTGAAAGTATGTCATATTTTGTGAAGATATACACACTATATTGAAAGTTAGAAGTATTAAATCTATAAAGACTTGAGACAAGTACAAAGAGGTCACGTGGTCGGTCAAATTGACCGAGCCCTTGTTGGGAAAGGTAATATATCATAGATATGTAAATCCATTTGTTTACTTATTGCCAAACTCCAAAACTACAGATGTCAAAGTTATAGTCATAATGTGATCATATTATACACAGTATTACACACAATGAGCTCTTAGCTAATATTAGTATCAGCAGTGTTTATTAAATAACTTTTAGTCAGCTTGCCAAGATGCAGGAAGCAACTTAATGTTAACTTATATTAGATAGTGTTCTCATCATTCAACAGATTCTTCAGTTTGTTATGCACAGGTTTGTTCACAATTTACTCATTTCATAAAATTTAACTATTAACTCTGCATACATATATACATATATTTAGAAAATTTTCCATGTATACTAAAAATTTCCAACATTAAGAGCGCAGTCTTTCCTTCTGACTTAGCCAATGCATGCACAATCATTATAGATAGTAGGGTTTTGAAATAAGTCACTGCAAAGGTGCACAAGTATGTTAAAAAAAATAATAATAACATGTATGAAACAAAATGTCAGACAAATCATGTATGGAAAGTTATTTTTGTTTCTTTGCTGAGACTATTCTACATTGGTCAAAACACCAGCTGTAAACAAAAAGGGCTGTTAAGCCTAGGTACTTATAGACGTATCATTACTAAAGATTGAGAACATTCTTCTCTATTGCAAGCCATAATGTATATCACAAAGACTTGTTAGCTCATAGTTATACAAATGGGCTTGTCTGAAGTTAGACTTCGCCAATTGTTTTTAGAATAAGCAGTGTTGTTTGAATTAACCTGATAGACATCTTATTCCATCTAAACTACTATTTTAAGACCTACAATATAGCTAATATATATTTGTCAGTACTTTCATAAATCAAAGAGTATACAAAATAATCAACCCAAAGAACATCAAACGAATAAAAACAAATGTAAATTTATATATAGTTTTATAATTATATTAGGATTAAACACAAGGTTAAGCTCAATCGTTCATAGCAGTTAACATGCAAATATAACTGAATTCAGTTACAAATATAAATATTATATATATAAAAAATGAAGCATGAAAGTTGCTGATGTGTCACTTACACCTCAAAGTCTTTCATACACACAGGTGACCACATTTTGAACAGTTCTGTCAGTCTTATTAAGTATCATTCACACATGTTTTCTTATCTAAAAACCTGCCTTACTTACCTTGGAAAAATACCCTACAAGATGGCAGCCTTTGTCATTATTTTTGGTGAGGACATAAAACAGGAATGGTTCCACATCATAATAGAGGGTCTTGTGGTCCAGGAACAGCTTGGCTAGCAGACAGAGATTCTGGCAATAGATTTTATTGATATTTCCATCAACCTCAAATATGGAGATTTCACCTTTTCTGTATATTTCTGTAGCAGGAGGATGAGTCCATGTACACTTGTGCTGCAAAATGTCCACACACACATTTACTGTTATGGTATCATTAAAAGAAATATTATTAAATTAAGAAATAAATTTTGTTTACCAAGTTTGTTTGTTTTTAGGTTATTTAAAGTAAAAACCTTATTCTTTAAATTTCCATTTAACCAAACAATTTCTATATTAAGATCATTTACAAACTGATAGTATTCTAGCTCTAAAGCAGAATTTCAAAACAATTTGAGGTAAACTGTGTGAGCTTAAATGATTCCACGAGAGTCAAGTTTTAAAACAACAACTGAACATAAGCTGTGTTTATCCCAAAAATATAACAATTCTAATGACTAAGACAATTCCTTAACTGAAAATGAATCTCTTTTTGAGGAACTAATCTTTATCACACAAAACATTATTTAAAAGTATATCATACAAAATCAAGTCAAATTACAACTACAGTACTGCCTCATTATAATGCTACCCAAGAGCAATATAGGTGGGGGGAGCATTATAACCAACTAGTAAAGAAGGCACTCATACTGAACAAGTACAGATTCAAAAGACGACTAAAGCAATCAATTAAATAAAATAACCATTTCTTTTCTTTACATTGGGAGAATAGATATAAAAAGAAGATAGATAAAATAAGATACAATATGAATACAAACTTTCCTCTTTCCGAACATAATGTACAGCATTTCGCATATGCATCACAATTCTTGGAATAACCATTGGATGTCGCTCCATCCAGTATAAAACTTCCTAGAGGTGTTTAGCCAGACGTAATGCAGGAGGATGTGGTCTCTCCTCTGTCAAAATTTGATCATCATCGTTATTAACTGCCGCTTGGCTTTGGAAGGTCAGTATAATCTCCTCATCTAAGAGCTTTTCAAAGGTGGGGTGGTCATCATCGATTTTAAGTTATTAAGTGATGTCACTATCCTGGCTATAGCTGTATCGTTTATATCGAAGCCATCGTAATCCATAGACTGCCTTTCTTACAGCATCTTTCTGTGCATTTTTATGAAACATTTTCCCAAGCTCTACCTCCAATAATGAGAGCCTCTTTAAGGCTAAGCTCCTTCAAAAAGTTAACAACATTCTTTGAGCTGTCTGCCATGGAGTGGGTAAGGTCTCTGCAATAATTTTGTTTGAAGGCAGATACAATCTCTTGGTTGAGTGGCTGTATTTTTTGGAAGAAATTCAGCCTCAATCAAACCATCTCTAGAGGTGAGAGTTTCTATCGAAAAATGGGCAGCACAGTTGTATAGCAGAAGCAAGGCTTTCGGTTCCAGCTTCTTTCTTCTTAGTTCTTATATGATGACAAGAACGAAGCCATTATGGAACAAGTCTTTAAAGTTTGAGCTGATCATCCAGGAATTTTTGCTGTGTTTATATATAAAGAGCACGTTCTTCATACTGACATGATAAAAGCAGCAAGGTTTTCCATATTTTCATATTGCAAGTGGTCTTAGCTTGTGATTTCCTGTCTTGTTGCAGTACAAGAGAATTGTTATTCTCATCTTTACCTGCTTGAATCAGAGTAGCCACCTGCCTCAAGTATCTTGCATGGTTTCTCAGAATATGAACTGGCAGCCTCCTTGTCTGCCGAGTGCTGATCATCGTAGACAGACACTTAGCCAATACTGTGATGATCTTTGAATCTAAACAGCAACCCACTGCTTGCCTCAAAATCTGTCGCCATTCAGTCAATTTGAGAATTTCTTTGCTTGTGCTTGAAGAATTTCACCCAACAAAGGTACGCCATTTACCACATGTACAAGTTGCCAAGGTCTCTTCCTCTTTAAGCCAACCCCTGACCATTAATCCAACTATATCTAATTCTTTGGATACACAACTCTGGCTTCTTTCTTTATTTCATCAATTATTGAAAGTTTCTCAGAGATTGAATAAGCTTTCTTCTCCTGGTGACACACTGGTAAGTGTGGGCATTTTGAACTTTTTCTAAATGTGCATCATCTCTTTTTGATGTAAATTCTAAGAATGTGTAATGAGCTGATTATCTTATATGTATTTGGTAGAGACAGGTGCTTTATAGTAGAAAGAATATGATTGGTTAAAATATTCATCTTAAAAACAATTGCCATTTTCATTGAATAATTAAAATTGTGCCAAAAGTGAGCAGGCTTAACACTACTCTAAACCTGCTGCAATTAATGACATGACATCTCTTTCTTTCTGATATTGAGCAGTATCTTGGTTTCAGCCATAAACAATTCTTGGAACTTCTTGCCTTCTCCACAAAGTTAAACCATTTCCTCTTTAATTATGTCATTTAATACCAGATAGATGGAATACTCACTGGGTCCAACAATAGCTTATAGCTTTCTATGCTACCATGAATGCAAGTGGCTAGAAAACTGCTCATGTGACTTTAAATATTTTTGATATCTTGACAATCGAGTCACATTTCAAAATTCTTTTCTTACCTTAATTCCCAACATCCCAATATCAAGTTCACATCTGAACTCGATAGTCACATCTCTGGGCTCTGCACTCGAGACTTCTTGCTTTTCCCTCCCTTTATTTCGTAATAGAGTGTAATGACTTTAGCCTCTGAAGTTACATGGCAATGAGCTAAGCAGCAGATAATACTAAATTTTTGGGAGCCAAGGCATCACAGCAATATATTCGAGAAAGCATTATAACCAATGGCCTTATAATGTGGCAGTACTGTATGTTTCAAAACATTGTTCTGAAAACTTAAGCTTATTATTTTAATAAAGCAAAAAGTACTATAAATAGTTTACTAAAAAAATGTCCAAAGAACACAACTATTACATTGGAACTGTGCAGAAATGAAAATGACTTAAGATTTCCACTAAAAAACAACAACAAAAAAACATATTGAACAGTTTTTCAGTAATAACTGAGTAATACAATATTTATACATTTACTTACCATGTGCCTTGCTAGAATGCTTTTGCTCTTCATATACTTCAAACAGAACTCACATACAAATAATTTTGGCAGTCTGAAATGACAGAAGAATTCACATACTCACCATAAACTTTTTTCCTACACATGATATATTATGCATATTAAATATCTTTCAATGTTTTTTTATTTTTTAGGTACACAGTTTAAGATATTTCATGTTTCCTTGTAATAATTTAAGTCATCCAATACTGCAAACTTAGCTCTTGTTTTATTTTTTCCTAAAATACCTCACCAAAACCACCATGTAATAAAGTGAATCACATTTCAATGTCATGGTACTTTATACACTTACCAAGAAAATAATAAGTGACCTTGTCATCGTAAGCAGCACTAGTAACAAGCAAACTCTACTTATTAAGAAATCACTCATTATTTATCCACTTAAACCAAATCTAAGTTTATATCAACCTCCATGTCTATTTTCTGTTACTCTACCAAACACACATTAATATAAATAATTGGTTACACGGTAGCTGTTTCAATGATGTAGTTCCACCGAGTTCAAAGTAATCTATTAGACGACACCAAACAACGATGTACATAAACTATAGAAATGTAGCCATGTGTACTAATGCAAAAGATGATGGAAACCTATGCAATGGTAATTTCAAGCAAATACATTATTGCAACTTAATAAACTTAACAACCTATTTTCTAGAACATAGTTAAGGTACAACAATCAAGCCTAGCTCTTTCTCTCTAACACACACACACACACACACATACATACATGTAAAAGTGATTCGAATGACATTTAGTTTGTCAAGAGAATATGTGAAAGTATTTTGATAAAGATCCTTCTCCATTTTAACAATTATTGGTATACAGTGCTGATGTGATTGAAATATGGCAATTTAATAACTTGTTTCACAGTAAAAACTTAGCTTTACGACTTTTGTTATTGCATCTGAAAGAGGTGAATTTTAATAGAAGTTAGACAAGTTAAGCAATATTTTTAACCATTCAGTTATTATTATTGTCAAAATATATAATGTCCATAACCTAGAAGCTTTGAAGGCTTCACCCTATCACTCCCCCAGAGATGTTATATGAACCATACTGGGTTCTCCCAGACTCATAGCCTTTTATCTCTCTCACAATGAGGTCAGTTGAATCAACTGACCTCATAACTATTTTGTACTCATTATACTTTCCATGCTATAACTTTTAATACAGTACTTGCATCTTTACAAAACTTAGCAGACTTTTAGTAGACACTACAAGTCTTTCATATACAAAAAATCTGATTTTTTCAACAAAGTATTTTTATAAAAGATTTGTCCATGAATATATATATTCTTTTTCTTTTTACTATTCCAAATGCAAAATGATTTCCATGTTAAGATTAAAAATACTTTTCTTTGTCTCAAAAATCTCAACTTTCATTTGCATAATCTCTACAACCTCCTAACTAATTTCAAATGTTTTCCTTTCAGTTACACTTTATATTTTATTTATTATTTTCTCTATCCTAATGCTTTATAAGGTTGGCCAATTTGACCAACCTTGTTACCACCAAAAAAATAATAATCTAAATCACCCTTTTTATCTTTTCAGAATGACTTCAAATTGTAACATGAAACTAAATAGATTTAAACTTGTAACAGTATACCTGTATCTGTACTTAAATTTTGTTGTTTTATTGACCTTTGCTTGCAATGATTGTATTTAGTAACTGATTTGATTATATACTATTCACTACTACTAGGGTCCACTTATTGTATCATATTGAGTATTTTTATGTTTTGCCTGTTACAACACTCATTGAAAGAAGTGACCAAAAATACTAAATGAAATCACTAATTTTCTATGTAAGATACACAAAAATAACAACAGGTATAAGAGGGATTAATTGCAACAATGACAGTATTTTTGTTTAAATTTTTTGTGTGATTCAAATGTATTAGGCATCCTATAACCAACAGTTATAAACCACAAAATATTTGGTTCACAAATATTTCCCAAAAATGTGTTCAAAAAGCTGGGTAATTTTTAAAAGCATAATATTTAATGCTGGTTAATGTTCCAATTCTTAAAGGAGTAAATTATTGATTTAAAGGAACACAAAATACAATTGTGAAAAGCAATACCACAGTTAAAGACTGCTAAATAAAGAGAAAATTTAGTTTTTATTGCACTGAAGGTGATATAATAAAATATATTTATAGCTTGCAAGCATATGTTTGACATGTTTGTCTCAAACTTCTTAAGAGTGCGTGGGTATTTTCTCTGTAGTTGTCCTGAGTGAAACAAGCAAGATAGATTCTGTACACAAAAAAAAATGGGGAGTATGGTGGAGGCCAACAAATTAATCCACTGTATCAGGTGCATAGGACGAGCCTCAAATTTAATGAGCAGCAGCCAACAACTTGGCTCCTAACATAATTATGACTAGAAGTTACCTGGGAGTGAAACTATCACATTAATGATAAAACTAGTGTTGTGAGATTAATGGTTTTTTCTCTATCTGTGTGCAATTATCCCACTTTTAGAAAATCTAAATTACAGGAGCAAATGATATCATAAGTAACTTCAAGACTAGGTAAAAGATAAGAAATCATATGTTGGGCAAGCCTTTCCTAAGTTAGTATTTGATTTATTTAAGTGCATGACCAAATCAGAAAGACTAAAAGCACTTACATTTTCATACCAGTTTAACAATAACACACAGAGAAAATAAATACTTATCATAACCAAATCATAATTTCTGCTTCCTTTAAGAATGGGTTAGAATGCAATGATTCAAGGACCATTCATGAGTCACTTATAATATTTATAATGAATTTTTGATAAATATTTTTCTTATGCCACACTCACACACACATATATCTAAATTATCTAAGTGCTAACATGACCTCTAAAAATGTACCTTGCATATTCCTGTGGATATGGAGAAGAATACCATGTCTGGATTTCAAACTGTCCAAACTCAATGGCTGCAGGACAACGTACTTGTGGGTCCAAAGGTAGACTTCCTTGGCCCATGGTCTGAGAAGTAACACACACACCCACATTCAGCTACAGAATGTTTTAAGGGCTTTAATATTTCTAACAAACAAGTGAATCAATGCAGTTGGAATACATAAATCTACCAATTATAATGTGTGTCCAAAAGAACTCACTCACTACATGTTTTAACTTAAAATAAAATATTATGCTTTTAAAAATTCAAGAATAAATCACAACTGTGATCTTTTCTTTGTTCATATTTGCTTGAAATATAAAACAAAATTATTTTCCTCTCATCATTTATCTTGAAAAATCCAAGAGGCAGAAACCTGTTTTAAACAAAAGACTCAGAAAATTCTTTAAAATAAAATAAAAATCTTTCAGAAAAAATATCTGGATGTTTCACACATATGGACAAAAATCAGACAATTAAATGGCCAATCACAGCATGCAAATTGGTTACGAGTATATCATTATTATTGAAAGTATATGGAACTGCTTCCAAACCAACGGTACAATTATTCAGACACCTGGACAAGACAGACCATAATTCACTATATAGTATAATCTGTTGATTCTGGCTTGCCACTATTATAGGATATCTAAGTTTGATTCATATATTGCAAAAAATAACACTTTAGAAAGTTAATGGAATGCTCACTATTTCGTATGCTTTTAGATAACTTCAATTATCCAAAACGTAATGCCAAATGTCAGCAAGGTACATATTACACTCAGAACCAAGTATGACGTATAACAAGTAAGCGCTTCAATAGTCATTAATTACTTCTCCAATGAATATATTTCACAATTTTAGTCATTACAATACCTAATTAATAAATTAAATACACAATTTCCAAATGTTTTTTCTTTTAATCATTTTATTTTGAATTACAGTTAGGAAAAATCAAGTCTCGATGTTTTTCATTTTCTATTTAACATTTATACATATAGTTGCTACAAATATTTGTAACTTCTGACCACAGTGTACTTATATTACCTTCAAACACTTACCAAGTATTACATTGTTTTGTAATTTACAGGAAAAGAAAAAGAAGTTTCAAAATCAAAACTATTAACCTGAAAAGCTGTTTCTTGGGCCTGCTTGAATAATGTTAGATCTTTCTCTGTAACTCCTGGAGGAAGTTGCTGCTGCTGGTTGTTGGAAGCTAATGGTTCAATATCTGTAAAAAAAAATAGAAGCAAAAAACATCACTATCTTCACCAACAGAGTGGAAACACATGCTATTCATCTGTAAGCTAGGACAACTATACAAGGAGTTTCAATTACAGCTTACTTAAAGACATCAAATTAACATATAAAAGTGACCAAATTTACAAACTTAGTAACTTCACTTAATCCCCTGTCTATGATCACTACTACTTCTGAAGAGATACTGGTATCATGCACTGGAAACTCAAACACAATCTCATCTATCAAAATGACAAAGTCTGGAAGTTTATTGCTTTTTTTTTTTTTTTTTGCATGTATACATTAAAACCTATATACGTCTACAAGTTTTGATATATTTAAAGCACAATATACCACTGTTCTAACTCTCTCATGATGGGAAACAACAGTATTAATATTTCTTTTTCCTAACACTAGTAGCTATGGCTAGGTAATGAAATGTTTAACAATGGAACATAATTTTCAACAACGTACCAGAAATAATTGAATGAATAAAAACAACAACAAAATATCACTTTGTAATCTGTATGGCATGTACCAACATATATGTGACACACACTGTCATCATTAATTACAGTCTTGACAAAAACACATTTTCCACATAATGCAGTAAAAAACTGAATTCATTGATTTTCTCATGTACATATACTTAAATAAAATTCTGCCCGTGGCAACTCAAAACTTTAATACATCACCTAAAACCAATACTGTTAGAAAAACACGTAGGTTCAAGAAGTCTTGATAGAAATGAACA